CATCTTCATTTAGGACATCGTTTAAACCGCCTGAAATTATCACGAGGTTGCGTCTATCAGCTGTCGTTTTGAGCTTTGCGCTCGCTTGCTTCATGACTGCTTCCAGCTTGCGTCCTGGGAACGCCCCTACTGCAACCCTCTTGTCACCTCTTACCCTCTCTTTGATGGCTTATGTGCATCGATTTAAATTTGAGTCCCCGGCGATTATCACATGCTGTGACTTTTCCGCTGGAGCGTTCTGCAACTGGGGGCTACTTGAACCTGTGACGCCGGCTCTTTTGTTCCCTTCCTGCCCCACCACTACCTCGCTGAAGCCGGGCCTTGCGACAGTTGAACCGGCTAAACCTGTTTTTTCCAAGCTTGCTTGCTTTTCCTTCTCCACCGTTCTGGTTGCCGGTTCCCTACTGTTCTCTCGGTAGGTCGCTTCTTTGTTCAGCTTCGCTAGCACTTCCTCGGCGGACTTCAGTCTTTCTCCCACTGCCCTCGTTTTTTCTTGCTCTGTCGCCAATGCAGTCTCGAGTTTGGCGATTCTCATCAGCAGTTCACTCTGGGCAACCATCATTTTCTCCATTTTTTCCTCGACCTCACATTGCCTACACTTCGCGTCAGCCTCTTCTCCATCCGCTTCTACGCTTGGGTCCACTTTCAAACCCACTCCACATTCTGAACACTTTACCGTCTTTTTAACCATGCCTTTCTGACACCAATTGTCCCTATACTCGATAATTACTAAACTCGAGCCCTGCACTACGAAAAAAAAAAGAAAGTCCAAGCTCTACTACAAAAATTTGCGTGTTCAATGTACGCGCACCTCCCCAACGGGGTGGCAAAAGAAAAAAAAAACAACAACAAAAAATTCAAACACACACACCCGCACTAACTAATAAATACCTGGTGACTGGCCCCCGAAAAAGCCGTACCATAAAATAAGTGCTACGAAGATTTCAACCGCTGCCTTATAGTTATAGAGACAAGCTCAAAACATGCAACAACACTTATCTGCGCAGTCGATCCGGAGCGCTCAAAAAACCATGCTGCCCGTTAGGAGCGCCACCACGCGGTTGCCCGTTAACACGAGCGTCGCCCAACGGCTCGCGAATCGCGGCTCACAGATCCCACAGTTTTCACGTTTGTTTTCAACTGGGTGATTTTTTTTTAATTTTGTGTAGTAGAAATGCCCCCCCACTATTTTTATTGAAGAGACTGGGCGTTTATAAAAGTTGAATTGTGATATGATGCGAGTACGCAGTCTGCAAATGTTTCGCGCGAGAAACCGTTTAAAACGTCACTATCCCATCACGAAGGGTATCTTTCACCACAGCCGTCACAAACGGTGGTTACGTGTCGATGGTGATAGCAAATTACTTGCCAACTTTCGTGTTCGCTAATTTTAGTTATTCTATTATCTTTAGTAAACACTAAGGCTGTACTAGCATGACATAGCTATAATTTTGTTCGAAGGAAAGACTTGAGTCCACCGGTTGGCAAAGCGAACAAACAAAAACGCGAATAGCTTTCCGCTGATCGAAATCCTCATTCCCGCAAGGAATACTCGGTACTTTAGAGGAAGATTTCCCTAGCCGGTTCGACAGTTTAAGAGGTAGCTTCATTTCCCAAGTCGCGTCCAATAGTTCAGGCGCTCCCAGCTGACCGAAGAAATTAAATTGAACGGCACGAACGAGCAAATGTTCGAAGAAGAAACGATGGTCTGTGAGTGAGCAAGCCCCCCCCCCCCTTTTTTTTCTTGGTCCCAACAAGAAGAAGCAAGCTTTAGCACTGCCTTTGCTGTCATTCGCTTCTGCTTCGTAATTCTCCATGAACAACTTTAGCTGATATGCCTACGGCTGTCACTTGCGGTACTGTTGGTTTTGCGCCTGAAACAAAATGGAAAGGACGCTAAATTTGGTATGCCGGCAATGTGCGCAGAGTTTGCCCTTTGGAGGACTTTGTGTGCACTAATATTTTTTTGTTATTAATATAGAAAATATAGGGTTTAGTACCTACGAAAGTTTACTACCTAGAGTTTAGAACAGGCTTGGCTTAGCGGACAGGTATCTACGTGAAACTCGTTGGTTGATTAATTTCCTGTGACACACATTACTATTGCCGTTCGCTTCTTTCGTCTCCTTTCATTATCTTTATCTTTTTTTTATTTCTGCGTCAGTTTATCACCCTGAGATCTGACGGGCCGCGCTTATTAATTAACATCCTTTTTCTTTCGTAGAATAACGCGCCATTAAACGTGAAAAGTCAAACTTTCTTCAAACGAGAAGTCGAATCATAACTGTGCGAAAATGCAGCAATCTTAGAAAATAAAGATTGAAAAACTAAGACACGGTCACTATCTAGCGCTTTCAACTCAATGCGAGTTATTTATGTATTGCTGAATTTTGTTATGAAAAGCAAAGTACACTTAACGGTTTGATTATCAGAAGCTTCTACGGCATTTAAAGTAGAGTAAAGGTCAGAAAATGTACAAACGTGACATTAAAGTGAAAAACTTACTGCTACCATACACGAAGGAGTTTTTTTAACTATATGCATTAAAAATAAATACGTGGTCTAAGGTATACTGAGATTCTAATACATTTGTATAACAACTTTTGTATCCTTCCTTACGACACTAAACTCAAATTCTGGCACTTGAAACGTCTAGGAGTTATTCCTCAAGCTCTGACGTCGAAGTTACGTAACAGTGGCTTCTTCTGCCAACAAAGATGGCAGACCTCTTGACGCTTGCAGGGTACCAAACCGGATGTGCGTCTGGTTAACCTCCCTGCCTTTTCTTGCATCTTTATCTCTCTCTCTCTCTCTCTTGACGCTTCGTCGTGTATATTATATCACTGCGGCCGAGTACAGTTTCCAAGCGAGAACTGATGACCCGATAATTTCCTTTGATATCGCCGTTAAATTTCTACAGAAACGTCGGAAGCTTTAGATTTCAGGCAGTTAACCACCCTGTTTTCCCGTGTTTTTTTCTCTTCGTCTTCCTAATTGACGATACTTACACACATGACAACGAAAATTGTCCTTGCAAGAAATTTAAACCTTGAGCCCTCGAAAAAAGAACGCCACGCATTCGCAATAAAAATCTAGTGAAAAGTAAGTTCACTTCGTCCAATGCGCAGCATGAATACCATCTAAGCTAACTTGATGGCAGGCTTTAAAACGAATAACGTACAAAACACACATAAATGACCATAAGTGATGAAAAGGAAATTCAAACATTATGCACTGCGCGTTTACCGGGTCTAAGGAGCCTAAATCAAGCCAGGGGGTGACGGGTTCTTTGCCCCTACAGAAGCGGTAAACTAGGGAGAGCTTCTAGGGAAAAAGCGGGAAGATGAAAGGGGAGAGGAGGGAGATGGGGAGGAGGTGAAGTTGAGTGGGCGTTTGCGATTCAAGGCACGACACACCCGAGAACGGGCTTGCGACAAACACTGAGCAAACGGCATAAACTATGCAAAGAGGTAGATGGAAAAGAAAGGAAAAACGTGAAAAAAACAATGCGTCTGGCAGGGCAGTGTGTGGAGTATGGGGTCGCTAAAAGTATATCCCTAAAACAATAGAAATGGCCTGAAAGAAGATGCGGGGAGAAGGGCATTTAAAGGAGGCTGTTTCAAAGCTGCAGGTTGAACCTTGGTTTGGGGAATCTTGAACGTGACATCGAGGATAAGATGGCGTTTTGTTCATTTGCTTATGGATGTTGTTGCTTTTGTGGGTGACGTTAGCGCTCTATTTGCTCCTTTGTCGGGGGAGATATTTGGAAGGAAGCAGGGAGACGGTTGTCTTTCTTGTCTGCACTCACGAGCTAGGCGGCGTGCGATACCATTACATAGGGGAATGGGTGTAAAACTGAGAGAGCATCAGGGAATGGGCGTAAAACTGAGGGGGCGCTTGGAACGACAAAGATGGGACGCTGGCGTAAAAAAAAAAAGATTGCAACGCTGCTTTTTTTATATACCTCAGCTCGTGGTATAGTGAAAATCGAAGCTTTAACGCTGAAGTGTACAGGGTTAAAAAGTTAAAAAGTGACCGAAGACAAGGAGAAGATAATGAAATGTAGGGCGTCTGAAAGAGTTGGACAGGGGTGGCGGAGATCTCATAAATAAGGAAGGGACGCTTCGAATGCGGACAAGCTTGAAGAAGAATATATTCTATGCACAAAACATAACTGCGAAAGTGAACCTTATCGGTTAGTTGAAACGTGGTTTTTCTTTTGTTCCCTTGTCAATTACATATGTTTGTTTGTTTGTTTGTTTGTTTGTTTGTTTGTTTGTTTGTTTGTTTGTTTCAAGTGCATACGTATTTTGGTTCCAATGTTTATTTTTCAGTAGGTCTTCATACGTAAGTTGATTCGTTGGTTTTTCCTTCCCGCATTATGCTTGTTCGGGCTTCCTTTTCACTACATTGCATAGAGAACACTCCAGTTCTTTTATGGAACGAGAGGACTCTCTTTTATACGACAGAAAAGCGTGGACTATCAAATCAATACGACGATAGACAATCCAGTGGTTGCAGGAAATCACTTAAACGTTATACGTTTTCTTGAAAATCGGTGAAGCACACTTCAGATGCACCACAATCAATCACGAAAAAAAAATGAACAAAAGATATTCTCGAATGCTATGCAATGCTATGTGTACACGTAATAATGAAGTGGAATGCTCATTAAGTGAAAAACTAACGGAGGGACCATATCGAAGGTTCGGTGTCTACCAGCGGCGGAAAGTGCTATTTTCGTCCACTTTTCTTACCTCACAGTTGTATTGAAATTCCTAATAATTACAGTCCCGGCACCTTCCTTGCCGTCATTTCCAGTAAGTTATCATTATTATTTGGCCTAAGAAAGAAAAACGAGCCCTTATCTTCTTTCCGTCGTACATATTGAAACACGTATATACGTCATATTCAGCTACGTACTACCTTCTGCCGTAATCTTCCGATTCCGTGCTCAGTGTATGCCATTAGTTACGTGGGCAGCCGCCAGATGCCCTCACCTATGTCCGTGCACCCTCCCCAGGTGGCCTGGTGAGCATGGCGCGCTAGTCGAGAGATGGCGTCCATGTATCCTTTGGAAGCGGCAACAGCGGCTGAAAAGGAGAAAAAATTAAACATTAGGGGGCTGCCAAAACAAAATGTCGAATACTAAGTTTGGACAAACGCTTTCACGGTGAATCTCTGAATGGCGTGCCTTAACTTTGCGGCCTTCAACACGACCACACACTTCCAAAAAAAAAAGAGAGCACCCGTCTTCCTTGAGGCGAACGGTGCATCACATAATGACGCCGCAGGTCACTGAAATTGGATACGTCATCTTGACGTAATCGTTACGTCGCGTGGTGACGTCAAAGATTTCATGGCACACGGTTTACTGGCACGAGGAGCAATTCTCGTGGTATGTTATTATTATTAGGGCAAGCTATCTTGGAATTATGAATTCGTTACTCAATTAACAAAGAAAGAACAAAACAAAAGTCTAATGTATCGACAGGTGGCACTGCTTGTATACGGGCTTAAATGCAGAATGAGTGCAACCAGAGCGATTACAAATCAGAGCACCATTCAGGACATGTAGGATGATCACCTACCCGAAGAAATTCTAATGCACTAACGTGTTTCATCTCATATTTGTATTTCGAGACCACGACCGCGAGATCATTTTCAGTGGCATTTCCATATCCGTCACAATATAGGTAAAAAGCACTTACGCAACCTACTCCATTCAACCATTCATATGCTGTTAAATACATCATCTGTATACTGCTTCAATGTTAACTTATACCTTCAACTTCGTTCCATATAGGTTTACATTTTGTTTGTTGTGCTTTCAGAACGTTCGAGCAAACGCTGAACTTGCAGTTAGCCGGGGGAGATTTGCGGCGTGGTCCTTGAAAAACAATGTCGCTAGTCACTAGCGCCCTGAAAAGCCAGTGCAAAGAAGACAAACACTATGTTCTTTTATAAACAGCCCGTGAGGGTAGTGTCCCCTAAAAAGGCACTCACGGAGCACCTCCGCTTATCCTTGTTATTCCGCCACGGAAGAACGCGATGCCGGTGTTAGATCCGATTACTGTCATAAGGCGCGTACATCTTTATGGAAGCGTACGCTTTGTCTACCATGCGGGTACTTGTTACAACAACGGATGGTAAAGCCAGCGTGGATGATAACGCACGCTCGCTTGTAAACATCTATGTACTTCCTGTAGTAGTAAATAAGGCTACCACCATAGCCTAAATCGTTATTCGCTTTATCTACACCACCAAATTTCTCAGGGCGTTACGCCACAGTTGGATCCCATATAAACATAAAACACCAAGACGTGATTGCTGGTAATTCACAGGCGACCCTATGCAGCGAAACAGGTGTTCTTGTCCGCACATGAGGCGCTGCTTTCTACGCAGGTTAGCGAAAGCAGTAAAGTTATTGTGCTGCTACGCAACGAGTACAAATAAAACACAGGCATTGTTAGTGAGCCACACAACAAGGCATTGTTAACAATGCCTTGTTAACAATTAACAAGGCATTGTTAATGAACCAACCATTAAAGGCTACCCTGTCCCTCCACAGAATTGTCATGGTGATCGCAAATACACGGGATAGACAGAATCAAGTACATTAAAATCTTTACAAGCAAATGTGCCACAGAATGGCTGAAAGCATCTCACGTGGCATGCTGCCTTCTTTTTTTCTTTCATCGCTACTGGGTAGACTTTGACGGCGTACTCATGCACAATGCCTGTTGAATAGACGCACTTAGTCTAGAAGGAGGAGTAGCAGATCTACTGGCCATTATCTCACGCACTGTTTTGACCAAACACCCGTGTGGATAGATTCGAGCCTGCCGTGATAACTGATTCACACCGTAGTTCAAGCATTGCAATGAAAGGGTGGCGCGTATTGTCAATACTGAGTTTACTGCTGTCGTATTATTTGGTTTACAAACAGCTCAAATGGCTGGCATTAATAAGGCACACTTCGTGTAATCTTGGCTAACGGGGGTCAGTGATATAATGATATTAAATTTATTTATTTATTTATTTATTTATTTATTTATTTATTTATTTATTTATTTATTTATTTATTTATTTATTTATTTATTTATTTATTTATTAGTATACCCTCAAGACCCAGAGGGTGTTACAGAGGGAGTGGGCACAATATGAACGCACAATATTGGGTTTTACTTCGCGAAACCGAAAAGTGACTGACAGACGTCGTTGTGGAGGCTCCCTAATTTTCGCCCACCTGTTGTTCATTAACGTACAACTAAATCTAAGCACACAGTACCCTAGCTTTATCCCTCCATGTAAATGTGACCACCACAGTTAAGATCCGATACCACTATTCACGGACCAGCATCCTAGCCTAATGACTACTAGAGCAGGAATTCTCAAGCAGGTTGGTCCTAGGGAACTCTAGTTCCATCAATTGCCAACGAACCCCCCCCTCCCCCCCTTCTTTCTTGCAACTATTTTTCCCTCGATACACGCTACCTTCGATGGCAATAATTTTGAAAACGAGGGTATATACAAGATTATTTCCTTACATGAAACTAAACTTAATTTCCTAGCACCAACAAGTCGATGTGAGGCGACGTTACAGTCAGGGCCAGACGCACGTTGGCTGCCGAATTCGACCCTTTCCATTGCTTATTTTTCAGATGGGCTAGTGTCCAGAATGCCTGCTCACAATCATACGTCATCACAAGTGGCATGATCACGTCGACTGCCTTGTCAAGTAAACGTGGAAATGAACAAAACGCGCCGCCCATTTTCGGAGTCTGGCTGGCTAAAAGCTGCTGGCGGTATTATTTTCGTGGCTCGTACACTTAAATGTGGTTATTGGCACTAGAAATGAGTAATACATGTTCCTTAGATCGATCCCGCTTCGGTTTTAATATCTAAGTCAGTTGGCGAATGTCAAATCGGGGAAAGTTTACCAGTGGCTAGCAGAACACCGAGGAGGGGCTTTCGAAACCCACTTCGAGAAACCACTCACGCCTAGAGCCCCCCTTAAAGAGTGTGGTGTAGCGCGCTAAACTTCATTCGTGTCTTCTGTTTCAAGCGGGTGGTTTGAACATTTGGACAGTAAGCAGTCATTAACTTAGCAAACTCGCGATGATGACCATTTGGGCGTGATGCTGTCCCGCATAAAGGGCCTGCGTGCGGCAGAGTACCCTTTACAGGCAACGCAATTGCGGCGCGTTTACATTTTAGGGACGATGCTCCTCAAGGCCTAGCCTTGTTGTCGTCCGATCTCCCGGCTTCCACACGATATCACAAGACATGCTACGCAGCTGTTGAATAAAACCACCTCAGCCGTTAACTAAAAGTTAGAAAACAAAACATAACTGGACAATAGAAAACACCTTGAAGTACAAACCATTTATACAATTCAGCGGATTGAACGTACACCTTATAAACTTGGGGACCTCGCTTTGTCTTCAACGCTCACTGTCCGCTGTCATGATGGCTAAAATAATTTATACAGGCAACATGTATGTGTGTATGTTATTAAAAAGAGTTTACAATAGACCGACAATTATTGTGACAAAACAATATAAAACACCTACAAGCGCAAACCCTTTATACCAATTGGTGACTACAACGGAGACATCACGGACCTTAGAACCTACCTTTGCCCACTTGTTAAAATTCACTTCGTGGAGATGCGTTGTTGTTATTGATAATGAGGATGATGAGGATTCTTATTAAAGCGACTCACCACTAGAGCTTAGAAATGTTTGGCGTCCCGCATTGCTTAAGTTACGTGGTATCGAATATAGAAATATTGTAAGAAACATGAGATACGAACGCCATAATAAGGGGGAGGAAGCCGCTGCAAAGCATGTTGTGTATGGGGGATGTTGCGACCTCGCAAACATCAATAAAATGTTTTGTCCTGCTGTTAACTTCGCGGCAAAAGAGGTAAATCACGCAGCAAACAAGAAACAGAGGCACAATAGGCTGTATGTATGTGATGGAGAAATATGGTCGAGACTGAAGGCACAATGAGGCAATGACATTTAAATGGATAAATTTTTACTGCTTCTATCCATCTTTCATAGTGGCTGTCTGTTTGTGTACGTCTCGTTCGGTCATCTATGTGACACACTAAAAATATAATAGAAAAACAATCCAAACAAACCTCGCTTACATACAACCACCTCATCTGACACTTTCATTTCAAGAGAATTCATAAATATATCACTGGTACAGAACGTTTGTTGAGTACGCATTGATTGATTGATATGTGAGGTTTAACGTCCCAAAACCACCATTTGATTTTGAGAGACGCCGTAGTGGAGGGCTCCGGAAATTTGGACCACCTGGGGTTCTTTAACGTGCACCCAAGCCTGAGCACACGGGCCTACAAGATTTCCGCCTTCATCGGAAATGCAGCCGCCGCAGCCGGGATTCAAACCCGCAACCTTCGGGTCAGCAGCCGAGTACCTTAGCCACAAGACCACCGCGGCGGTGCATGTGTACGCATGCGCGGTAAAACTTACTAAGATTTAATTTCACATAAATATGCATTGACAAATGAATGAATAAAGCAGATGATAGTCAGTGCTCGTGCGTTCGCTTTATTTCCTTTGTGGGGCGTGTTCTCCGTTTCCGCTGTTAATTTTAATTGTTGGTACGTACGTATTCATTCCAAACTGCCCAGAAACAGAACACGGAAGAGACCACGACACGCTGCTCCTGTGTTGCCCGGTCACATCTGTGTCACGTTTAAGAGCTGTTTGGAATAACCATACTAACAATTTGTAAGCAGGGATTGTCTACTTGAGGACTAGAGAATGACGTCGCTAGGCTTCTAGAAAAAAAAATTGCCCGCAGCTTCCCTCGGGGGAACACTGAGGAGGATGCGGAGCATATAATTGGTTAACGGGGTGTTAAAGTGCGACTTACTTGGGTCGATGGCTAAATTGGTTAACGTGGTTGTGAAATGGGGTGTTAAATTGCGACTTACTTGGGTCGATGGCTAAATTGGTTAACGTGGTTGTAGGAGGGGGTGTTAAATGAGTGAACACGTACACACGTATGCGAAAGGGCGGCGCTGGTCGAAGGGACGTCGATCATTGTG